TGACTTTCGCCTCTGTGTAATATCACATACTCTGGTCTCATTTCCTTGGAGTCTTCGGAGGTGGCTCCAGCTACTTGATAAGCTCATTTGAGCTCAGTTGTTAATGTTGCTAGTGGCTTAGGGTGTTGACTCTTCTAGCTCATCTATTTGTGTCTTAACAGGGACCTTTCAGCTCAAAGCAAAGGTGTTACTACTTAGAATTTAGGGCACACAACAAAAGGCTGGTGGGGGAGATGACACTTGGGAGTGTGAGTCTGTATGGGAGACACTTGAGAGCACACCAGGTAAGTAGCTATTTGTGCATTTGCATCCTGGGATTCCACCTCCCTCTAGTTCTTCAGAAACAGATAAAACGCCACCTCTTCCAGCCACCCTTCCTTTGCCGGGATCATATGCATGGCTTGCTGGCCTTCTCTCTGTGACTTACTGTACACAAGCTCTTCACAATCTGAATATATTTGGGGGATGCACAGAAACCTGTCATTTAAGCAATATAGGTAGCCACGCGTCATAGCTCTGCATGGCTAAAAAACAATAGTCACTCCATTATTTGGTTGGCAAGTCCCTTTGAGAAATGGTGTTGCTCTTTTGGAATAAAGAGTTTAAGTCTAGAGAATCTCACTGCTTACCAACTATAGGTACTAATTGAAGACCAAACTTTGCTTGTACTTAGCATGGAAAGGACAGTGGATGTGGTTGAGTCACATGTGCACACGCACACACGCACACAGAAACATACATACACAGAGCAGTCCCTAGTAGAGAGTTACTTTATGTTAGAAACAAAGGATTCTGGGGGCACCTGGGTGGCTCAGTCAATTGAGCGTGTGACTCTTGATTTCTGCTCAGGTCATGATCTCACGGTTTATGAGTTCAAGCCCCGTGTCAGGGTCTGTGCTGACAGCCCGGAGCCTGCTTGGGAATCTCTCTCTCTCTCTCTCTCTCTCTCTCTCTGCCTCTCTCTCTCTCAAAAGTAAATAAACTTAAAAAAAAAAAAACCTAAAAACAAAGGACTCTGGCGTAGGTGGGAATCAGTGCAACATTTTTGGAGGGAAACCTGACAAGTATCAAAAGTCTTAAAAATGTGTATATTCTTGGACTCAGTGATTGTAAATCTAGGAATTTATTCTAAGATATTAGAGATGCTCACAAAGAATTATGTATAAGGACACAGGAGGATATTAATCAGAGCACTTTTTTTTTTCTGCTACAGGTGACCCTGCCACGACATGGGGAAGGGACAGGCCTGTTTGAGGGTAGAATAGACTGGAATGGAACCCAAAAAGGGCTCATGCTGACTCTAGGACCCTAGCCTGAATGTCCTGTCCCAGGAGCACTTGATGGGGAGTTGAGTGCTGCACTGCAGGGCATTCAGGCTCAGAGTATCTAGGTGTGGAGAAAAAAAGAAGAGCTCTAAGCACTCTGGTGATCACACCTCCCTGGCCTCAGTCTCCTCCCCTGTAAAATGGAGGTGATGGTAATATTGACCTCACAGAGTTGTTGAGGGATCTAAGACTTAATAAATGAGCCTCCTGTTGGGTATCTTTTCCCTGGCCAATCCCTGAATGTCCTGTTCAAAATCCCCCAATAGGAGAATTCATTTATTCATTCATTCCATACGCATTTATTAATCTCTCCCTCTAGGTATCCCCAGAATCAGAGCACTTTTAGTTGTAAAACAGTAGGAATAATTCACATGATAACAATGGAAGATTAATAAATGGCTTCAGTATTTATGAACTAAGAAACAAAAGTTAGCCATTAAAATCCCTATCTTAGGGGAATATTTAATGGCATGATGAAATGCTCACAATATCTTTTTTTGGTTAAAAAAGTAGATTATAAGAGATAGTTTAATCTAAGTTTTGTAAAATATATATGATATAGGTATGGAAAAAAGACTACAAGGGCATATACCAAAATGTTAATAATATTTGTCTGAGTGCTTGTATGAGTGATTTTAAATTTCTTCTTTGTATTTCAAATTGTCAATGAGAATCATTACTTTCATAATCATAAAGGGGTTTGATTAAAGAAGATAAAACTCATTTGTTAAAAAATTCATCACGGAAAACCTACCAAGGTATTGTATGCCATATTGGAAGGCTTGGCAAACTATGGCGAGCCTAGCAAACGTTGTTCGGGCAGCTTACAAGAAGAGTTCTGGGGCGCCTGGGTGGCTCAGTCAGTTAAGCGTCCGACTTCAGCTCAGGTCACAATCTCGCAGTCCGTGAGTTCAAGCCCCACGTCGGGCTCTGGGCTGATGGCTCAGAGCCTGGAGCCTGCTTTGGATTCTGTGTCTCCCTCTGTCTCTGCCCCTCCCCCGTTCATGCTCTGTCTCTCTCTGTCTCAAAAAAAAAAAAAAAAAAAAAAAGTTAAAAATCAGAAAAAAAAAAAAAGAAGAGTTCTGATTTTACATTCCAGTAAAACTGGGTTGGAATCCTGGTTCTTCCACTTATTAGTGGAATATTATTTATTCTAAGCCTTAATGTTCACTTCTGGATAATGGGGCCAATAAATCCACCCTCTGGAGTTATCCCAAAGATTGATGAGGAACATTCAAAACTGATAGCTATTATTTTTAGTGGCACAGTGTTACAAGATGGTCCTTCCTAACCATCTCTGCCCCACTGCCTCATCCATCTTAGTCATCTGTGAGAGTCACACAGTCCATGGGATTTGCCTACCCATTTAAGTTCACAGCTTATTGCTTTATTTTACAGGTTTTATTATTATTTAGGTATAGTGAGGCCAACAGCTTAGAAGATGACTGCCATTGAAAAGATGGCTTGTTATACTCACAGACCCCAAGAGGAGGGCCTGCCATGCTATGTGGGTGGGGGGCATATAGGGAGATACTAGGGTTAGTCAAGAGGCAGAAGGATCAGGGGAAAGCCTAGGCAAGAACCTTTACTGTGATTTCTGTGAAAGGCAAGGCAGGGTAAGCAGGCTTAGAATTGGCTACTTTGAATGATTTCAGTGGGCTCTCTAGTTGTCTGGTACCCAGAACTGGTAATTATAGCAAGTGGTGGGCAGCCTAGAGTGTGAGAACATGATAAGGAGGTAGTTGGGGTATGAGCTCTGGCCTGGTTGGTTTGTGTATGAAAGATGTGGAGCCCTGTATTATTAGCTCTAGGAATTGGCTATCCCAGGGAGGGACAGTTTCTCCAGGGTCAGCAAGGCCCCAAGATGTCAAAGCACCGAAAATATAGAATAAAAATGCATGATTAATACAGTTATTGGCTGGGACAAATGAACAACTTTAGCTTTTATCAGCTTCATAAGGAAAAGGGTAAGATCCTTGGCATATGAGACAGCCCTTGCCAACCTCTGTTTTGCAGAATCATTTACTTTTTGGCTCTCTCTTGCTATGTAACAAACCATCCCACAAACTTAGTGGCCTAAAACAGCAGCCACTTTATTTGGTCATGATTCTGCAATTAGGGCTGAGCCCAATGGAGTGGTTTTTTGTTAGCCTTGCCAATGGTCACTCCTGTAATTGTATTTAGCTGGCTATCACCTATGGGCTGGGTTCAGCTGGGATGCTGGCATGGCTGGTCTCTCTCTCTCTTTTTCTCTCTCTATTCCTGACTTTTTCTCTTCTTGAGGGCTCAGGGTCCTGCCTCTTCTAAATGTCTTCTCCAGCAGAGAAGATGGACCTTTTTTTGGGGGGGGGGCGGGGAAGATGGACATCTTAGTAGTACCTCAGAGCTCCCAAGAAGGCAGAAGTAGAAGTTTCCATGACTCCTTAAGGCTTAGAACTGAAACAGACACACCATCACTTCTGCCACATTTTTAAATGTTTACTTATTCATTTTGAGAGAGAGAGAGAGGCAGGCAAAGGGAGAGGAGAGGGAGAATCCCAAGCAGGCTTCATGTCAGCACAGAGCCTGACACGGGACTCAGTCCCATGAACCACGAGATTATGACCTGAGCTGAAATCAAGAGTTGGATACTTAACCAACTAAGTCACCCAGGCGCCTTTATGGAAGCAAATCGCAGGCGAGGCCCAAACTTAATGGGAGGGGAGTATACAAGCGCATGAATTCCAGGACATGTGTTTATCAGGAGGAGAGTCTCATTGGGGCCATTAGCATAATGAATTATCATGATAGACGAGGCAGGGCATTCATTTTAGCAATCCTTCTAGAGATTCTGAGACCCTTGGAGACACAGAGAACCTTAGAAGTCATCTAGCCCAAACCAGTGAGGAAAGTGTGATCCTGATGTTGACTAACCGTAGAGGCTGTGTGAATGTTCTGGGCTTTCTCTTAAAACAGTGACAAGTTGAGAAACCATACTTGTTTCATAGAGAAAAAAGGTCTTGAAAAGGTAGAGACCAGTTTTCAGTGAGCAGGCCTCAGAGAATGAAGGTATGCTATATTTTTAGACAAATTCTACTAGGTCACTACTGATCAAAGAGTCACTAGCATGACTTGATGAAAAGACTTTCTCCACCTCATTGTCCCTTAAATACTTATTCTAGCTTCTGTTTTTAGCCCTCTTCATATTCTTCCTAGCTCATCTTACACACTCCCGTGAATTCTTGTTATCACTTACATTCTGATTATTGTCCAATTTTTACGTATAAAGAGCACAATCTTTTTTTTTTTTTCCTTTGAAGGCTGGAAACCTAATTTTATCAGCTCAGCTCACTGAACATTTCCATGCAAATGCCCTGTGGTACCTCAAACTGAAGTGAGCTCATTATGTCCTCCACAAAATCTTCTTCTCTTGTGCTCCCAATCTTAATACCACACTTCTCTTAGCTCCTACCCTAAGTTGGGAACTTTGAAGTTACATTTGATGCCTCCTCCTCATTTCCCAAGCTCAAACACCAAAATTCTGGTGATTATAGCTCTAAAACATAAAAACACACAAAACAAAACACACACACACACACATACACACACACCCACACCTGTCTGTTTTTCCCTAGTCCAGGAAGACACCATCTTTTGCTTGGTCTTCCTCTTAGTTAGCCTAGGTTTCTGTAACTGTAAACTTAAATAACAGACATTGATTTCTCATAGTTCTAGAGGGTGGAAAGTCCAAGATCATGGTGGCAGCGAATTTGGTTCTTGGTGAGGGCCTTCCTCCTGGCTTGTGGATGGTCACCTTCTTGCCGTGCTCTCACCTGGCGGGGAGAGAGCGAGAGAGAGAGAAAGAGAGAGGGAACTCTGATATCTCTTCCTCTTTTTATAAGGATACTAATCTCATCATCAGGGCTCTACCCTCATCTAAACTTAATCATCTCCCAAAGGTGCCACCTCCTAATACCCCCACATTGGTGTTTAGGGATTCAATATATGAATTTGGAGGCGACACAAACATTCAGTCAATACAGGCTTTTATGACAATGTCTAATTGGTCTCCCTCACTTTCAGTCTTTCTACGCAGCTTTCAGATTTGTCTTCCTAAGATACATTAAGGGCACATCACTCCCTCGTGTAAAACTTTTCACCAAGTCCCCGTGTTATTTAGCCGTGGCATTTGCAGCAGATTCATCTCTAATTACTCCTTCTGTTTTCCCACCGTCTCTCCTTTGCTCCCCTTGCTAACACTCTTTCCTCTGGCCCCATATGCTTGGCAAGGCAAAAACTGCTCATTCTTTCTGGCCCAGCTGAAATATAATGGCTTTTATGAAGTCACCTCTCCAGGCAGAATTAATCATTTCCTTGTCTGGGGTTTATAGGTCAGTTGTTCTTAACTCCTATAGCATATTTGAATCACTTGGTATATCAGGCTTCCCCAGAGAATCAGAACCAAAATATGTATAATATTATATAACACACACAAACACACACACACACACACACACACACACACACACACACACACACATACACACAATTAGGAATTGACTTACATGGTTATGGAGGCTGATAAATCCCAAGATCTGCAGTCAGCAAGCTGGAGACCCAGGAGGGCCCACGGTGTAGCCCATTTTGAAGACCAGAGACTGGAGATGCAGAAAGTGCCAATGTTTCAGTTCAAGTTCAAAAGTAGGGAAAAAATGATGTCCTGGCATGAAGGCAGTGAGACAGAAAAAATTCCTTCTTAATTGAGGAAGGGTCAGACTTTTTTGTTCTATTCAGGCCTTGAGTTGCTTGGATGAGACCCACCCTCACAAAAATGCCCAGCATATTGCTTGACCAAATATTTAGGTGCCCTGTGGCCCAGTCTAGTTGACACATGAAATTTACCATCACACCTGGGGAACTGTTACAATATACTAACACTGCTGCACCTCGTTCCGGAGGTTCTGGTTTTATTGGTCAGGGGTAGAATCTGGGCATCAATATATTTTAAACTTTTTCCTGCAGGCTATGGGGTGAAAACCAAGTAAATTACTCATATGTATGCCTCCTCTAATAGACTGTAGGATCCTCAAGAGCAGGGACTGGCCTTACCCATAGTTACCTCACCACCTGCCTGCATGTTATCTAACATCAGATGCTAAATTAATGCAAAATGCTTAACTGAACCAGACTTGAGCATAACTACTATGGGTTGAATTATGTCCCCCCCCCCCCCAAAGATATGTTGAAGTCTTAATCCCCAGTACCTCAGAATGTGACCTTATTTGGTTTTAGGGTTGCTGTAGGTACTGGAGTAGGGTGGGCTTCTAATCTAATACAACTGGTATTCTTGAAGGGAAGAGACACAGAGACAGACACACAGGGAAAATACTATGTGCAGACAGAGGCAAAGGTTGAAGTGATGCAGCTGTAAGCCAAGGGACGCTGGAGTTTGCCAGAAAGCCAGCAGAGAGAAGCCAGCAGGAGGCAAGGAAGAATTGCCCTACAGGTTTGAGGAAGCATGGTTCCGTCAACACCTTGACTTCTGACTTCTTCCTTACAAAGCTTTGAGACAATACATTTCTGTTTTAAGTCACCAAGTTTGTGGTACCTTATGATGGAAGATCCAGGAAACCGATACAATAACCAGTTAATGGAAAGATACATTAGGAGAATGGTCTCCTAAATTTATGGGACAGTAGAGTGGGGTAAACTAGAATCAGTCTTTCTTTCAGTGTGGTTGAGGAAGGAGTATTTTGAGAATTGCTTTCTTTTTCTTTCAAGCTTTAAGATTTGAGATCCTCCAAATTTAAGTGATCTTGTGAAATATAATTGAGTCTCCTGAATTGAACAGCCTTCCAGAAAGAATCATCTGAGCTGGCAACCAGTCTCATTTCACAAGCCACACCTTAGATCCATTAGAAATTAATAAGCAAGCACCCTACCTGCCTTATCAATTTATCCTTTTCCTCTTAAAGCTTGGTCAGTTCAAGATTTCATTCATCAGATGACATTTCTGGATCTGCAAAACTCAGGATGAGGCAGTGGGCTTGGGTGCCCCCATCAAGGTCATTGAGAGGCACTGCCTGCTCAGCCATCTGCCCCTCACTCTTTGACGTCTCTTCAAATTAAACACCATACCCTGTGGTAAAATTGTTCTTGCTCTATAAATAGCTGACTTGGCTTGAGTCGCGCTGAAAATGTTAACCAGAGAAAGGGTGTCAGAAAGAAGAAAAAGGAAAGGCCAAAGACTCAAGGGTAAATTTCTTGGTCAGATGAATTTGTCTCTGAGGAATCCCCAGAACTCTCTGTGTGAAGGAGGCACCCTGGGCCTCTCCCTCACATCTCTTGTCTCCCTTGACTTCCCGTTCTGAGAGCTTACCCACCCAAGTGAACATTCCCCTTTTCCTTGACCAATTTTTTCATGCTTGAGTTTACTTTGGATCAGGAAATTGTTATGAGGTTACTTTAAGAAAAGTACACACTTTCTGTGGCCTCATGGCACACTTCTAATTTCAATCACATCATTACCGAATTAAAATGGAAACTGTCCACAGGCAACACATTGTTACTGATGCTTTCTTCAGCCACATCATTATAATATCATAATATAATTTTATGACTAGTTGGCCTATGGTTTTATAGGGCTGCTACAAACCTCACATCTGCTCCCAAAGAAGGGCCCTGAGAGCTTCCTAACTTCTCTCTCCTGTCCTCTGTACTATTTTCTCTAACTTCTCTGTCCCAGCCCTGTCGGGTGCGCTTTTCTCCTGTGGCTGCCCCCCCCCCTCCCCCCGAGGAAGCTCCTCCTGGTTGTTCACTAGAGTCAGTCAGTTCCCAGCAAAGCTTCTTGGGCTATTAAAAAAAAAAGTTTGGCCTTTGCTCATTCTCTGTTGTACCCACTACTCATTCTTCTTGCTCCTTCACTCCACACACTCACTTCCTGTTTGTATTGCACCCCCTCCCCACCCAAGCCCTCATTTTTGGCTACATGCAAGCTTTTACATCCAGTTCCTTCCTTGTGCCTTATGGTGTAGAGACAGAGCAGTGTGGCTGTGTCCAGGGACAGGGGTTCTCAGCTCCACTGAGAAGCTTGCATTCTGGTTCCTGACCCTTCCATCCCTGAAAAAGTCCCATCTTGAAGCCCCTCATCATGGTGCGCTGTGGCTTTCCCTCAGTGGTTCCTCTCCCAGTCAGGTGCAAAATACAGAAGACCTGGGAGTAGAGGTCTTCCTGGACTCAGCTCTCGCAGAAGCTGGGTTTTGCCTCTGTTCCTTTCAATAGAGGATTAGGTCTCCAGAATCTGCAATGATTTTGAGGTTAATTTTGGTGTCTGCATAATATGCTTTTTTTTTACATTGTTTGCAGCTTTCTGGGGGGGGGGGGGTTAGAAAAGCAGGGTAGAAAGGCCAGCACCCTTGAAATGCACTGGATGGTTTGGGTGGTTCTTGCTATAACCCGGGCCACCCTACCTCAGGTCCCCCCCCTTTTTTTAATGTTTATTTATTTAGTGTTGAGAGAAAGAGAGAGAGAGCAGGGGAGCGGCAGAGAGAGAGTGGGGACAGAGAATCTGAAGCAGGCTCTGTGCTGACAGCAGAGAGTCCGATGCGGGGCTCAAACCCACGAACCGTGAGGTAATAACTTGAGCTGAAATCAAGAGCTGGACACTTAACCAACTGAGCCACCCAGGGGTCCCTGGAATCTCTTTTTAATTCAATCCCCCGGTGGTCGAGCATAGGGGTGCGCTCTAGCTGGGGGGTGTTATGTTCATGCATGCAGTCACCTGGGACAGGGCCCCAGCCAGCCCAGTGCTCCTGGTGCTGTTGAAGGAACACCCTCAAGAATGTTAGCAGGCTTAGTGCATTTAGAGTTTATCAACGTGTCAGCACAGCAACCTTTTTATGGGGATTGTTTAATTAACGTTAATCGCTCTTGGCCTATTGTGTGACTCGGACAGGATTTACGGAAAATCACCACAATCTAAAACCCTGTAAAAGAGTCATTGCTTTTAGAGGCCTTGTAACTCATGCCTGGAGACACCTTCTGATCTTTGATGTATCACTCTGATGCATAAATACTGCCCGCGTTTGCATAAACCTCAGAGGCGGCCAGGCACTCCATTTTTAGGGGGGCAGGTACACCCAGGTGAAGAGCAATGCCCCCTGTGCGTTATGATCTGGGTAGCAGTTGGTGAGAATTTGCTTTCTAAAGAGAAAAGATTTATCCAGTTTTAGTACCCAGTTCTGTGCTTTCATGGATTACATAAATTCTGTTGTCACCGTCAGTCCAGTGGATGTATGAAGTTGTTTCCACATCACTAGGACACCCCACCCCTCCTCCTTGTAGTGTCCCACAGGTCAGGGAGAGGAAGAGGCAGGCTTGAGATAAAAGTGGAGACAAGTGATGGCTCATGAGGAGCTGCGGCCCAATCAGAGGAGAGCCTGCAGGGCCTTTCTGAGGACAGGAACCTGTGTAGACACCACTAATAGGTTAGAAGGGAAAGGGAATCACTGGGCTGAGGACCAGCCTGTCTGTGCCCACCCCATGGCTAAGATCACAACCATTTGAGCAAAAGAACAGGTTTGTCTTCTTAATATTAATCTTTGGCTTCCTTGCCCTCTGCCCTCTCTCCCCCCCCCCCCCCCCCGCCCCACCCTTTATCTTAATCTCTGTTGTTATTTGAAAAGGGTTTTTTTGGAGTCATTCACCCTCTGCTTCAATTATCATCAACAGTAATGTATCTCCAATATTTACTACCCTCCCGAGAGGAGTTGGGCCTCTGAAACTTTTACCCTTCAAACTTTCAAAAATCATTCCTCACATTTGTTTTTTCCCTAAGAATGTCTTTCAACTTCGAAAACAGTTTCGTTCGTGGTCCTGAAATTTTCTGTACCCCATGCATTCCACCCCCTCCTCTTTTTTTGTTTTTCTTATTTTCTTTCTTTCTTTCTTTTTTTTTTTTTTTTTGAAATTTATTGTCCAGTTGGTTTCCATACAACACCCAGTGCTCATCCCAACAGGTGCCTTCCTCAATACCCATCACCCACCCTCCCCTCCCTCCCACCCCCCATCAACCCTCAGTTTGTTCTCAGTTTTTAAGAGTCTCTTATGGTTTGGCTCTCTCCCACTCTAACCTCTTTTTTTTTTTCCTTCCCCTCCCCCATGGGTTTCTGTTAAGTTTCTCAGGATCCACAGAAGAGTGAAACCATATGGTAACTGTCTTTCTCTGTATGGCTTATTTCACTTAGCATCACACTCTCCAGTTCCATCCACGTTGCTACAAAAGGCCATATTTCATTTTTTCTCATTGCCCTGTAGTACTCCATTGTGTATATAAACCACAATTTCTTTATCCATTCATGAGTTGATGGACATTTAGGCTCTTTCCATAATTTGGCTATTGTTGAGAGTGCTGCTATAAACATTGGGGTACAAGTGCCCCTATGCATCAGCACTCCTGTATTCCTTGGGTAAATTCCTAGCAGTGCTATTGCTGGGTCATAGGGTAGGTCTACTTTTTAATTTTTTTTGAGGAACCTCCACACTTTTCCAGAGTGGCTGCACCAGTTTGCATTCCCACCAACAGTGCAAGAGGGTTCCCATTTCTCCACATCCTCTCCAGCATCTATAGTCTCTTGATTTGTTCATTTTGGCCACTCTGACTGGCGTGAGGTGATATCTGAGTGTGGTTTTGATTTGTATTTCCCTGATGAGGAGCGACGTTGAGCATCTTTTCATGTGCCTGTTGGCCATCTTCCACCCCCTCCTCAAACACAGAACATCGATGGCTTGCTCAAGACAAGACCAAATCCTACTCATCTTCCCTGAGTTGGCCTTGTTTTGGTTTATCTTTACATTTGCTATTTCTTCCAATCTCATTACACTCCTGTGATACTGTAAATAGGGAAAGTACTGAAATTCCTATTTCACAGATGAAGAAACCAAGGTCAGGGAGCCTTTTTCTGGAAGCATAGCTGAGCCAGGGAGAAGACCTCTGGCTCCCTGTCCAGGGCAATCGTGACCACCCAGGACTGCCTCTTCATGGTGGTCTGGGTCCTCTGCAGGCCCCAGCTGCCAGGCACTCTGGTGGCAGCAGCACTGTGCCACGGGCCAGTCAAGTCCTCTCTGCTGTGTGATGGGGCCACCATTGGCCTACCCATGGAGGGCCAAAGTCAAGAACCCCACTGAGCATAACACAGCATTTGAGCTTGGTTCTGCCAACCTATTGTGGGCACAGGCCACATTTGTCAGCACCTAGGTGCTACCTAACAATGCTGGAGTCTCCACAAATCCACCCAAATTCTTCCCAATTGGCTCACGGCACAAAGGCTCTGCTTCTCTCCAAGGTGTCTTAGGCTCTATAGTAATTGGTCTGGGAGAGATGACCCATTTTTCTTTAAAAAAATTTTTTTTAATGTTTATTATTGAGAGACAGAGAGAGACAGAGCATGAGCATGGGAGGGGCAGAGAGAGGGAGACACAGAATCTGAAACAGGCTCCAGGCTCCGAGCTGTCAGCACAGAGCCTGACACGGGGCTCGAACTCACAAACCGCGAGATCATGACATGAGCTGAAATCGGATGCTCAACCGACTGAGCCACCCAAGCACCCCGAGATGACCCATTTTTCTATACTGGGCAGCATGTGCTATCTGTGGGCTCTTTCACTCAAGTGATTCAAATTCTCTTAAATCTAGTTTCATTATCTTTGTCATTTGTTCTGTATCCCAGCTTTGCATTGTCTGCTAATCAGGAGATCTGAATTTCTGTCATTTTGCTCCTTCCAATCTGTAGATGAATTGATGGAGAATCAGTGTTGCCCAGAAAATGCTTCATTCACTCCCTCCCTCGCTCACTTTTTATTGCACACTTACCTTGTCTGAAGCCCAGTACTGGGCACTGGGTGACATAAAACTGGCCAAGGCTAGGTGATTCCTGCCAGTGAACTCATCCCCCAGTGAAACAGAACAAAATGGACAACAAGTGGGTTGCATTGAGCATGAAGTCCCTTCCATATCCCACTGGAATCAAAGCCCCACGGCAGGGATGATCGTTAGTGTCTTTTGCCCATAGATCCCCAGCACCTAGAAGAGTGCCTGGCATGCATTAGTGCTAAGTATTGAACTGAATTTCAGTTTGCATGATTGGCCCTGTTTCCCCATCCTCCCTTCTTCTTACACTTGCCATGTGACTAGGTAACTCCCTGGAAAGAAGAGAGCATCTCCCTGCTGCTTTACTTTGGGGTGGGCCATGTGACTTTCTTTGACTTGTGGCCTATAGTGGAAGTCAGTGGAAATCACCTTAGTTGCAAGAGGCTCCTAGGAGCTGACGCACATTTCCACTCTCTTTTGGCCTCTGTCACTGCCACAAGAAGAGCAGTCTTGGCTAGCTCACTGGCCTAAGCAAAGTGAGAGGCTGTGGTAGAGATCCGAGCTGCAGACTTGCAGTGTAGAGCAGACTGCTCTAGCCTTGCCTCGCCTAAGGTGGCTTGTTCACCCCACCCAAAGATGCCTGAGTGAGACCAGCCAAGATGGGCAGAAGTGCTCCAGTGAGCCCAGCCCACCTACAGATGTGTAAACTGCCGTGTTATTTTCAGCCAAAGAGATTTGGGAAGGTGTGTTATGCAGCGTGCTATGAAAATAACGAAGTGAAACCTTCTCCTTGGGCTACCTGATTTCTTTCAGGGTCTGGACCCTTAAGGACTTATTTACCCTCGTGGTTATTTCAAGACCAGGGGTTGGCCAACTTGTCCATAAAGGCTCAGATGGTAACTGCTCTAGGCTTTGCAGCCCCACATAGGGTTTCTGTGGCATACTCTCTTCCCTCCCCGTTTCCTTCCTTCACACCTTCCCTCCCTCTTTCTCTCCCTCCCTCTTTCCTTCTCCCCTCCCTTCCTTCCTTCCTTCCTCCCTTCCATCCTTCCATCCCTCCTTCCTTCCCATGTATATTTTATAAGAGGTCCTCTAGCTGATGAAAAGAGCTCTGAGCATCACTGAATGTCCATTCAGTTCAATTAGGGATTGGAAGGGGCAGAATGACAGAAATTCAGATCTCCAGATTAGCAGATGATGCAAAGCTGG